TTGAAGAAGTCCCAAATTTGTTTACAAAGAAGCTAGAGCAATATAATGTAAACTTTTTTACATACCTAATGCACTTATTTTCAGTTATAAATACGATTGAAGTGAAAATAATAGGTCACATGGGTACACATTCCAACATTTTAGGAAGTAATTCGTTACGTCTTAATTCGAAGTTTGCACTTAACTCTCGTTTTTGTAGTTGAAAGTCAACTAAACAATAATATGTTGTGCAACTGAAAACTTTTATCATTAGAATATTTTTAACGTCACTCGAGATAACTTAGTATCTGTCCGTCAAATAAACATTATAGAAGATACATACAAAATATTTTAATTATGTCAAATAATGTTCCTTTGGTCGAGGAACTGAATTAATAAATTTATTAAATAATTTTAAAATAATTATGATTATCGATTAGGTGCAATATTTTTTTTTTGATAAAATTAGTATTAGAAATTTCGCACTGATAATCACTAAATTTATAAATACTATAAATCACTATAATTATCAAAAAATAGTTTGAATTTTGATGAGTATTAAAATTATAATTAGGTTACTAAAAAATAAAAAAATATTTTCATTTTTCAGAATCGATCCCGACATAAAATCATACACTTCAAACGGAGTTAACACGGAGTTTTTTTTTTAATATTTTTAGGATCTAAAGTAGTTGTCTAAAAAATATAATCTCTTTATAGATTGATATTTTGCACAAATATTTACTATTGAGGTCATTTTTAAAAATTTATCATTTGTTTTTTTAGAAACTATGAAGAAATTACAGTTTACGATAGTTCTTTCAAACTAAAACCAAAATAAAGTGTTTTGGTGGTTATACTCTAAAGTTAATAATAATCGTCATGTATTTTGTATAACTTTTGAGTAACTTAATTGAAATTCATGAAATAATACTCTAAAAATTCAACAATTTTGATTAATTTGTATTGCTTATAGTAATTTATTACGATATTTTATCTACCCCAAAAACAATATGGTGTTTAAGTTATTTATAATAAAATAGATGATATGATAATTTATTTAACTTTCATGAAATGATGAAAAAGCAAAATTATATTAAATATTTGATAAGATTAGAAAACTTTTATTGAAAAATCGACGTTTTAATAAAATATTTATCAAACAATTATTATAACTTATAGGCATTTTAAATGTTTATTCTATGGCTTCCATAACAAAACGATCTCCAGAAATAATTTACATAATTATATTAATTTTCAGAATTATTTCTATTACCTAAAACAGATTTCCACCGAACTGTAGAAAATGAGTTACGTCGAATACCCAGTTTTGTATCTTATACATATTTTTATGTATGTATTGTTCACGGATGTGGCTAACTTATCCTATGGTAATTTGCTAATGTAAATAATTTTGTTAAACATTAAATATATATATTCAAGAAAATATTAACTATGTAAAGTGTTTCTATTTTGTTCTTCAAAATTAACATAAATTTAAATTAAAGTAATTAAATTAAATTTGCTTTTAAAATTTATAGTAATTTCAAATAATAATTCAAAACTTTTTTTTTTTTTTTGGCTACATACAATTGAATTCTAAATATTTCTTTTTTCATTTTATACAAAGATTATTTCCTCAAAGTTTTCATACACAATTCATTGCCAATATTATTCAATTTCCAAACATACTTTTTTCTTTTAAAAGAAATCGTAAGTTTTCAAAATAAAATTAAAAGAAAAGCGAAAAATAAAATAATGAAAGCTTCTCGAATCGGTGAGCATAACGAAATGGCTTTAGTATTGGTGTTAGAATATCATATAAAAATAAAATTATTTGATTATGAAGAAAACAAATCACCGTCACAATTAGCAATATGCTAATTGTGGCCTTTGAAACCAGTATATAAAAGAATAAAATCGCAGCTAAACAGTAATTAATAGAAATTTGAAGTATAGTTATATTCGAAAAATCGCCAGGCAAACTAAAAATTATAACAATAACATATTATTGCCAGCGATAGATTGAGGAATTAAAGTTTTTCAAGAGTATCTAATAACAATGTATAGTATGTGTTGTAAATATACATCACTAAAAAATTCCCCAGCGAAACATGTAAAATATTATAAACCAATCTGGTATACATACAATTTATTAGAAGATTAAAATTATCAACAACAGTATTAAATCTTAATTCGAAAAAATACTCGTATTAGTAAACTAAATTTGCAACATCATTACCATACTACTGAAATAACAAAAGTTTTTAACTATTGAAAGTATAATCCAGTAAATTCCATACATGCATTTAAATATTTTTAACGTACACATATAGGTTAGGTGCTGTGAAACTTACAAAACACTTCTGTAACCTTGATATAGTATATATTAATGCATACCCGGATTATAACTTTTTATAAGAGGTATCTTGTGCACGCGATTATACGCACCAACACAACATATGTACATTTTACTTTTATTGTAATTTGGTAGCAAAACAATAGAGTTTATACGAATAAAAAAATAAAAAATAAACTTTATTTTTTATATTTGTTCAGCTAACAGTGACTATTATATACTATTTACGAATTAGGTTCGGTCAAGAATGATCGGTTGAAATAAATTGAAAATGATAAAAACATTTGGTGTACTTATTTTATATTTTTATATTGTAATCCCGTGTATAATAAAGAAATATTCAAGAAATAAAATATAACAATCGATAAATAAAGAACAACGCGCGCACCATACTATAAAACATCGTACATTATTATTCGAAACATTGATGATTTATATTCACACATACACACAATCTCTGGAAAAACGAATTTAATTCAAATACGAATTTGAAGAGCGTGCAAAATGTATAACTTTATTTTAGACGATTGGTCGCCACTGCAATATGTACATATTAAAGCCCTGAGCGAGCATTTCTACAAGTCAAACAAGACATAAAGTGCTATAGTATATATATATATTAGTATAATAGATATATGTAGAAAATAAACTATTTGTATGCATTTTCAATTAATGTTACATGTATGAGTGGAAACGAAGGATATGAATATTTTAAATCGACTAATTTCATCTTAAACGATACTGGCAACATCTATCATCAGCTAACAATGTCCTTGCATGCATAGGTATGTTTTCGTATTATACTACTAGTGCATTGCAGTAACTATTTACCGAACTTTAGGGATGGGTATGAAATCCGAAAGTCTGAAATAAAAAGATTTGAATCAAATTCTTATTCGGATTTGCCGAAGTATCCGGAATTAAGAATATGACTAAAATATTGACCATTGGTCATTACTACTATTACGTGTAGTATAGTTGCGTGCAAACCATTCAAAAAGTCAAACACACAATATACATAGATAGTATATAATCCAATACTCGAAATACATGCAAACAGCTCATACATAATTTTAATTATCGTTACGCGGAACAAAGCGGTTATGAATGTTTTCTGTAGACTAAATTTCATCGTTAACAACCATTTACAGTCTGTTACCGATCAACAATAACTGAAAACATTACAACGCTATTAAAATATGACGCAGTGCACTGAAAATTACGAAACTTGCAAGTGAACGTATTACATTAGTATGATTGTGTATATATTGTTATATTGTCTACGCACTCATTCTGTGATTTCATTCGTATAATTTAATACCATTGATTTCGGATCACACACAGATACGCCGTCCAGAGACATACACATAACTTTTGTATAAGGGGGAGAGGAGATGCTCCTATAGGTATCATTGGGAAATTTTTCAGTGCAACGTGCATAATACCTACATTGATTTCTATATAATACTTAAATTTTTTAAATTAAATACGTGGGAATATATTTTCAAGATAAATACTCTCAACAATGTAGTTATTTTAGTTTCTTTCGACGACCACTAAATAATGCAAGGTACTTGGAAATTCGATAACGATAATAGTAGCTTGAATCCTTTCTTTATTTAACACGAATAATAAATGTATTATTCATTTTTTTTTTTTTTTAAATCCGGGAGATTTTCAAATTTACCTCCTTGCATCCCCTCACGAAACTCATGGGGGAGATCAGTTACATCCAAATTATTATGGTAGGATAATTTCCAAATCTATAAACACGTGCACATTAAAATAATATAAAACATATATATTTAATACATTTTATTTCAAAAGTCTATAATTATAATTTAATTTTTTTTCTCTCTTAAATTCTTCAATTAGTTTTTCAACTCTTTATCACTAATAGAAATGTTCCTATACATTCCTATTATTTGCAAAAATCATAACCATTTTTATTTACGTTTTTAAGAACACTATTTTACAAAATTTAAATAAAAGCCCAGGGAAATCTGATCTCCACATCCTTCATTATATACGTCCCTGACACCGTCGTGTCGTCAAATTTGCTAACATCTACATGGACGTAGTCCCTAGACATCACTATAGTCGTTTACGTTGAACTTGATAAAAACCAATTTTCTACTTTGAAAATTACAACAACGATCGTGATTTCCACGGAAAACAGTTGATTTGTTGTTGTATCCATCGTTAAAAACGTTTTTTTCATCAAGTGCGAACGGCAGCAACGACGTCTAGTAGTGACTGCGTCCATGTAGGCGCTATCAATTTCAACAATATGACGATGTAACTGAATACGATTGTATTAAGATCAACGGCAATAATACCTGTGCACATTTGTAATTTTTTCACCCGGCACACACGTCTCGTGCAACACACATTACATCGATGTGAGGTGGTGTATGATCATCAAAATTTTATGTAGACGGACTGTTTGCACTCGTCCGCCGTGTCTAGGCATAATGCACTACAGTAATTATTTCGATTCGGGCCGTTTAGATGTGCCCCGCGGACCTCAACCGTATTCCCTGCGACGACGATTATATTTCTATAAAGCACCCTTGTCATCACAATATCGCTATCGCCATATCATTATACACTACGTATCGTAATTATAATATTTATATATACATATATAATCATGGCCTACCTGTGTCTCCGTTGTAATTAATATCTTCGCCATCCTCCCTCCGCCACATCACATACGGTTCCGGGTATCCGGCGGCTTTGCATATTAAAGTAGCATTACTCGCTTCGCGCACCACCATGTCTGTGCTCGTCTCCTTATCTATAATGCTCGGGGGCACTGCAAACATAAAATGTATTTCGATTCGTACAATTAGTTCAATACCGTTTGTTCGTATTGCGTAACACACCGCCATCGCGTACATCCACACAATTATCAGGACGAGTTGTCAAGTTTCGTCTTCCGTCGTCGTCGATCTGTGCATTATCGAAATACTTATAGGTACGGATATTTACTAAGCAAATCTGTGAGAACAAAAAATGACTTTTCGAAAGCGAAATTTTATCCTAAATTCGTTCGCATTAAGTGTTGCGGCTACTGATTTCTACCAAGAGAGGGTACAGTACGCAAAATCATAATAAAAATTAAGAATAAATATTAACGCAAAATCATTTTAATTTTTTTAAATGTTGTAGTTCTTATTTGTGAATCATCAACAAATTTTATAAAATTTAGCTTAAATAATAAAAAAAAAAAAAACAATTTACTTCATCACAACTCAATATTGTATAAAAAATATGATTACGTTTAGGACCCGGTTCTCACCAAATATGAACTTAAAAAACGTAGTTTCTGATCTTCAGTGCATCACCAACTTATATTGTAATACTATAGATATTGATACGTCACGGTTAGACCTTATGCAGTTTTTATAATATAAGTATATATTTAATTTTTTTTTTTTTTTATCGTTACAAATAGAACGCATTTGTACCAATTAGTACGATATCATTTCTTAGCAATCAATTTATTTTCAGGCAAATAATTACTTCAGATATATTGTCTTATTAATGAACCGGGTATACATTACACAGAACGTCATAATATAAAAATGCGAATAACATTCATGCCAAGACATTATGCGCAGTAACCGAATCATTCACATCATCAGTAACGTGCAGGGATTGTATTAATATTTGAGTACTTGTAACTCGTATAATAGCGATCGAGACGGAACGGAAAACGAATGAGGTTAATAATAATAATAATAATTCGTTTGGAGTGCACTCACCAACCACTTGCAAATACCCTTGTCGACTTCTCATCGGGTCTGTGTTCACTTGACACATATACCAACCCCGATCTTCTTCGTGCACGTCTCTAATGTGCAAATACCACGACCGGTGATCATTGTAGGAGAGCGTTACTCTAGGATTTTGGGTGATCACGTTGTGGTGAATGGACAAAATCGTCTGAGTGTCTACTCGGACCCAAGCGACCTGCAATAAAAATAACCAGCTCGAAGATAAAATGTTTAAAGTACCGTCTTCAGTGGAATAAATACGAATACATATATATTTAGATGCGCGCGTGTACATATTATAAATTCGAGTGTAATCCTATGATACCAAGGATTTCAATAAATCGTTGAACCCTATCCTGTAATAATCCTCAGTCATAGATAAAATACAAAACAATGTACAAATAATATTATATAACAACCATGGGCAACCGCAGGAAATTTATCAAGGGAGATAATTAAATGCATAATTAAATCGAACACCAAAAAGTATATTGAAAAAAAATGTATTCTTAGCAAGCCATAAAAATATTAGAATTGTTCACACTTTATTCGTTATCGAATAAAAACTGAAGTCTTTTCAATAGTTCGATTACAAACCTTGTTATTAACCGTTCGATTAATTTTTTCCAGGGAGATGGGCGAATTCCCAGTCTTACCCCCACTCTCTGGACACCCATGATAACAGCACAAAATAGAATAATAAAATATATAATTTCCACAAAATGAAATCAGTTTTTTATTTAGCTGTCATTGATCAGTTTAAGTACATTACGATAATTAGTTCTTAATAAATTATATTAATTGTGCTCTTTCGTTGCATGAATATGACTGTAACGATTTTTCGTAAACAATTTTGTATTGGATTTATAACAATACTGCAATTATTTTAAAATCATGTTTATTTTTATTATCATATGAATGTATCGAATTTATTAACAACCAAAATATACGAATATATAGCGATTATGATACAAAGACAGATTGATGGACATTTCGTTTGGTTCGCCTCATAATTGTATACCCATTCAGTAGGTCCCCTGTGAATTTAAATTTTAAACTGAATTTCATGATTCTTCGAAATATTCGAAACATTTTATGCAAAGAGCCAGAATTTATTAAAATTAATCTTGCATTGAATTTTAAAGACTTAGCTTTTAAAATTGCAAATTGTACACGAAAAAAATGTAATGAAGTGAAAAAAAAAACAATAAAAATATTATTTGTAAATTTATTCTTGGCTTTAATTTGCACTATAGTACTCACGAATAAGAAACTAATAATGCACCCCCTCCAAAAAATATTTCTGTATCTACGCTTGCTTAAGAACATTTATAAGATATACAATTATAAAGCCGCATTGACCCGCTGTATTTTCAAAAAGGGATGAAAAAGGTAGCTCTCTTGGTTTAACTTTCATTTAATTTCATTTATTTTCCATCCCTTATCGTGTTTTGGTATTTATGTGTCATTCAATTATACACTAATGTTCGCGTAAAATCCGATTAATACGTAATTGCACCACGTAAATCGTTAAGACCGAACTGTGTAAACATTATAAATCAACTGGCTGTGTTTCAACCTATCGTTATAGATATTGATACTGCTGTAGATATATATGCGTCCTGATTGGCCAATATAGCTGTACGACTAATGCAGCCAGTTGATTAGACGCGCTCATTTGTGTTAGATCACTCGAGTAAATCATTGAACCGTTCCATTGGACACACAACACCGAATCTATAATACTAGGTTGTTGCCGGGGAACCGTTTATAGATGGGAAAATAAATACAAACAACTACTCATATTATATGTAGGTGTACTAAAATAATAGGAAGACATTTCCGTTTGAGTGAAACTTATACTTAAACTAATAATATGTGGGTACACTAAAAGTACTTAGTTTTGTGCGAGATTACAAATAAAATAAGATCAAATGTAATTTGTTTTTTAATATTTCAAATCTGAGTGTTAAAAGTTGTTTAACGAAATATTAAAGAAAATAAAAATATATAATTGTCTCTAAAAAAGAAAACTTACCGGGTTTAACACCGAACCGTTTAAAATAATAAAATTAATTAAACTATACGCATGAATGGATTTTCTTTTACTTTATGAGCATATTTTCAAACAATATTTTTTTTTATTTACATAGATTTAGTGCTTTTATTCTCTAAATAGTTAATGAGCCGTTTAAAAAAAAATATTGTTAAAGTTGGAGGTATAATTTGTCATACTTTTTGACGACTATAATTTTTTTAATATATTATATTTGAGTTAAAGAAGTTTAAAATGTCTTTGTTTAGAACTACATAATTAAGTAAAGGCATTTTATGTTGTATTTTTAATAATGATGTACATTTCTACAAACGAGGACGTTCAAATCAATATATAATACATAGCCATCAGGAAATACTAGATTTTCATTAAATAAACTTTTACCCGTTTAAAAGCCATTTCTCGAAAAATTATGGCGAATAGGTGAAATTATTTCAGACTTTTATTTCAAAATCCAATTAAAAGTTTTCCTTTGTCGGCCACTGGTATTTAATGGGGTAAAGCCACCTGTTTTGGGGTTTAAGTGACTGTAATGTACCGTTAGTAAGAATTATATTTTGTTGTTTAAAAGAGAGAAAAATGTTAGCGGGTACTTTGGCCCAGAACAAAAGACCCCGGAGAATTATCTTTAAAATTAATTGCAGATTAGCGCAACCGCAATGGTCTAGTTTTCTCACCTTAAATCCACGTAAGTTGTCCACAACGCACGCCAGCAGCGCGTCTCTACCAATGCTTACCGTGACATTTGGTATGGGTTCGGCAAATCTAGGCATAGAGGATTCTGTAAAAATAAAAGGAGTACAATTAATTAAAATTTCAATCGAGAATGTTTTCCTACCAAAAAATAACCATCTCCCCGGAACATACATGAATGTTTTTTAAAAAAAAAATACATATTTTTAAAAGTAAATCATCAAATATCAAGATGAGAACCGGACTCATACATATTACACTTGAATATTAAATATTATAATTTAATATATCAACTTGGTTATATACAAATATATAATTCAATTACGAGTATATTAACAATAAACATATGATACGAGTTAAAAGATATAACAGAGAATGGTTGTTTGTTAAACTTAACCACCAACTTTTTCTTTATTGCATTCTTAATAATAAATTGTAAATTTGGTCATCCTTTTTTATTTTTTCGTACATTTTTTATTTCAAATTGTGAACTAAATCATTTCTCGGTCAATTTTGAGACCAAAATCAAACATCGACCCAATAGTGAATAATTTATAAGAGTTTAAAGTTAGGTAAGCAGCAAAGGATAGCTTGAAAAATATTGACAGCGTCACTATACATCCGATCATCTAAACTTTAAAAAGTTTAAATAATTAAAAATGATTAACCTCAGTTGTTCGATTTTTTTTTTCTACCAACAATTTCAAAAAAAAATTTTGTATCTGAATACGAAATGAAAAAACGTTTTAATTTTAGAAAAATAAAAAACTTATAAGACTTTCACGATGTAAAATATAAATAAATTTATTGATTTTTCCAAAACAATTGTTTAGCAAATAATGTATTTCCAAATTAAATAAAAATAACTCTTGTTCGCAACGCATGAACTGGTCGGTAAAAAAAAAAAATGTTTAATTTAAACAAAATCATCGTGTATCTACAACATCTACAACAACTCGGGCAAGTGATTGGTACGTCGGATAAAAAGTAAATATTAAAGAATTAACGTTGAATTAACGTTAATCATTGTTGTCGAAAACAGTCAACGGCGATGTGCGTGTTTCCAATGGATTTCGGGATTACACACGTGTTATGGGAAATTACGTCAATGTGGACGGGAATCGCGATGTGTGCATCGGAAAATCACCTAGGAGGCAACTGCGACGATCCTGCCGGAGAGGCGTCATTTTAATTTTTTCTAGAATAAGGCATTGCAATCGGCATCGGCTCTTGTCGTACTGCCGACGCGACGGCTCATTTCAACAATGTGTCGATTAACGTGGGGAGAGAAGGACGTCAAAAACCAGTCCAAAAATATAATAATCCGCACTCGGTTCATCAGGACCCGTATAATGCCCTACTAACTTTTCAGATTTACAACACGTACATTTTAAAAGACGTACTTACGTTTCAACGATGTTTCGGCTTTAGAATAACTAGACCGTGGCAAATACACGAGTTGCTTCCTTAACCCTCGAACGAAGCCACTATCCAGCCGACCGTCCGCGGCCAATGCGATTATGAGCGTTTTACCATTACCGTCGTCAGAGCGGTCCCAAGGTTTTTCGGGGACAGGGGCAAATTAATTTGGGGGCCTTTCGACCATAACAATAAGATATGATAAACAAGATACTTACTGAGAATAACAAAATTCTAGCAAACGTATTTTTCAAAACCTTAACCAATCAAGCTCATTTAAATGCATTTACTGCATTACGTACTTACATAATATAATTGAACATTATTAATATTACTTATAATTTAACCGTTCAATGTAATCGGACAAGTCGCAACACGCTCACACGCACGCGACTTTAATCGTCGACACTCGGCGAGCTTAAAATCGCTCAGTGTAATCGAGGCTTTATTATTAATTATTGTACATCAAGACTTTATGGGACCCCCTGCAAAATATACCAACAAGGTGACCTGGGGAAAAATGGTCCCGTTTCCCTCCCCCTCCCCACTCTGAACGGTTCTGACCGCCGTAAACCGTACCTACGATACGTTTTGTTGGTACGCTTCGATCTGCGCACGCGATTCGTTTTTTATTAATTTGTGTTTATCTATTTTAATTATTATTTTTTATTTTTTTCGTTTTTGTTCGGTTGTCGCGCGTCTACGAAACGACGCTGCTGCGGTGGCGTACACGCGTTGACGGACCGATTCCCGTCGAAATCCGCTGCCCACCTCGTCGTGTCGTTACGATAAATACACGTTCAATAAATCAGCGCGAGCGCACCGTATCGCGTTGCACAAATGCACACTCGGTGCGTGCGGTGTGTGTGCGTGTGAAACAGTGTGTCGGTATGAACAGGCGCGTCGCTGCGGTTTATTGGAAACGCGTGAGATCGTATGCTCGACGGAGAGTTCGCCGCGCGCGACGACTACGTTGAAACTTTCGGGCGGGAGACGGGCAAAAGTTCGCTATCGTATATTAATACACCGCGTGCGCGGGGGGCGAGAACGAGCACGTTTCGCCGGGTGGGACGACAATATTCACACGCGCTCGCACCGCCGGCCAGTGTCGAGTGCGTCATTAAATTGCGGTCATTATGCGGAATTCAGATAAAATCGCTCCAAGTGCTCTCTGGACCAGCGTTTCCCAAGCTGTGGTCCGCGAACTCGATTTAAAACTATAAAACAACGTACTATTATTTATTATTTATTTTTTTTTTTTAATTTTAATTCGTATTTAGGAGTCAGCGATCATTTTTATTATCTCCAAGGGGGGTCCGGCAGGGAAAAAGTTTTGGAAACGCTGTTCTAGACACACGCGCGCGTGCAGACGTTCAACGAATCGACCCATTTCATTATTGTTTTATATCAAACACGGTTTTCTTTTCCGTTACTCAGCAGAGATAACCTTTCGCCGCCGTTAAATACGATAACGATTTACGTACACGTATAACTGGCATATAAAAATATTATCGTAACGAGTTTTTTCGTCATAATTTATTATTTTTTTTTTTTTTTTTTGTGCGATTTGAATTTGTCGTCGACGTCGGAGTCAACTAAGCGACAAACCGACTGTTATAACGTAAGAATAAAATAAAATATATACGAAGCATTAGCTGGACTGTCATGTTGCATTAATCGTGATTAATCGTCTATGGTCTACGAGTGTTTATATCTTTATAAGTAACAAGTTATAATAGCTACAACTTCTAGTATACAATATTATAGTCCTTTAGATAACGCGTGTATTTTAATGTTTTAGCGTAATAATGTTCTATAGTACGGCTATGGTTTCTAATAATATGTAATCTAATAATATGTTTTTAATAAGTTATAACACGTTATAACTTATAACGCATTTGTTTTTGACAAAAACCGGTCATTTCCTATGATCCTTAAATTGCAAATGAACTACTCATGGAATCAATACGTAAAATATTAAAAACCCTTTGCATAACGTTTTTATTCATTTATTTAATTTTTTTAGTACTAAATATGTAAACGACTCTTTTGTATAAATGTAAGTACATTGTTAAAAATTAAAATTAGGTACACGTAATTTTGCGAACAAATTATAACATTTTAATTTTATAATTTCTTTCTAAATACAAACATATTTAAATATTTATAAATATTTTATACTCTGAAACGAGAAAAGTTTCAATAAAAATATCTGTATATAAAAATTCAATTTTAAATCAAGTATTAATTGTTTCGTTGTGATAGATGGACAACATGGAGATTGAGAATACTCCGTAATATATTAACAGTACTCATCCGATTATCCACTTTTAAAAAACATAAATATTCATGAATAATTTACTACTGGTATAAAGCTCCATTTTTATTCTTTGACACTTTTATAATATTATTGTAATTTTTTTTTTTTTTTTTTTTTTTAATTTATATTACTATACATTAAAGCACAATGAATATATTTAAGGAGCGAATAAAAATGTTGTGAACATCGTAATTAAAGAAGCAACCCATTAAAGACACTTTAACTGTTGAGTAGACTTTTATAATATGAATTCAAAATATAATATATAGATATGTACCAACTAAAATAAAAGTTGAAAAAAAATTTACTAATAATTATTAACAGCACTTCCTACCTTACCTAACAATAACATTATCCAACTGATAAAGTGCATATTAAAAAAATGTATCCAGTATATTATGAATTATGTATTTCTTTTAATTTATACGGAATAAAAAAAAATCAATCGTGAATAAATTATAAAACAGTCCGTTTACGCATCAATACTTTTAAAGTTTTACTCCAAAATAAATATAATAACCTGCAATTTTATCATAATCTACAAAAATAAAACATAATATACTTTGCAATGTTATTAATTTATAAGATATTGTAGAAGTTTTAGACCTTTTCGAAAATGTATTCTGGTTTAGTTAAAATAAAATACCAAAAACTCATTTTTCGTCCAGTTAGTATCTTTCATTTACAATAAATTAATGCTGTAAATACTAATATACTAAATATAATATCCATTAGGTAAATATTTTTACGAGTAAATATAAATACAACTTATATACATATACATAGCTCTACCTGGTCTTGTCTAGACCGATCCGGACCGGACTATGGTCCGGCCTTTTTCAGTCTTTGTGACTTCAATTTAATGTAGTCCGGTCTCCTTGCCTATAAAAAAAAACTCCAATCTGGTCCTTTCACCAACAGTTCAATCAAATAATAGTCTTAATTTTAAACAACAATTTAATATGACTATTTATATACATTACATACCTAATAAAATAATACACAACATAATTATATGTTATTTTAACTCAGATTATGGTTTGGGACATCAAAATAGCTCGTCCCGTTTCTGTATGGTGACAGAGTATTTGCATATTATAGAACATAGATCTAGGAATATAATTCGAGTTAATGATTGTTAATTATCTTATCTTGTATCTGTATTATTTCCAAACGTATACAATATACGTTGTGGACAATTTTATAATTACTTGGTTTTATATTTTATTTTGAACATTTTATGTCATTCGCTTTTATTTTTAAATTTCGATCCGATCCAGTCTGGTGTCATCTTTTATTTTATCAGTCCGGTCTGTTTTTGGTCTTAGTTAAAATGTATCAGTCCAGTC